TTATTCATTTGTTAGAGGGGTGTACCTGTAATTTATTTGTCTATTTATTACACGTAACTCTCCTGTCATTTGACATGGAGATTCACAAGTTCTCTATTTCTCATGTTTAACGGTTATCAATTACACTCTTCCATTCTTTTGAAATTTAATGCCCTCCATATGCTGTAATTTTTGAAATTTATGACTCGTTGATAATATCAAACCAAATTCCTTGAGAAGCTTATCAAAACTGCAGTGGTCCAAGGGCAGTTTCTGTTGTGAACTCTTGTTCTGACAAACTAGGAGCGATGGTAGCTGCGACAGCTGTGGTTCCAGATGAGATAGAAAATATCAAGGAGATTTTGCAGAGATGGAGTGATGTAGATAAAATGGATTTGGTTTTAACCCTTGGTGAGGTCTTAAAATTCTCAACTCTTGGTAATCTTTATCATCTTCTAAACATTATCTGATCAATCTGTTTGAACTGAAGTATGCTTTAATGACAGGTGGTACTGGCTTCACCCCGAGGGATGTTACACCTGAAGCAACAAAAGGTGTAATAGAAAAGGAAACCCCTGGACTTCTACATGTCATGATGCAAGCGAGCCTCAAGGTATTTTCGTTGCTACACATTGTACTCTCAATGTAATGTCTTTGGCATGATGCTTCTTTTATATCCAATAACTAACAAGTTACAGTTTTGTACTCTATATAACACATTCACATGCTCACACACACGTACACCTCTATATGTATATATGATTATTGGTAACAAAATTCCACATTTCATTCACAATGAGTAGATTTTTAGGTTAAGATCAATTCTCAATTGTGGAATCAATCTCTTTATGTATAACAGTAAACCTTCAATTATTGATCGATCAACGCACTCATGCTGCTCTTGGTTTCTTCTAATACATAAAAAAGTTTATTTTTATTAGTTTTTATTTGATTGCTGGTGTGCCCTAGAATTGTATTGCCAAAGCCATATTGCATGCATTTATTACCTGCTTTGCTTGTGTACTTCACGAGATTGGATTTATTATTTTATTAGTAAAATATCACTTGCCTACTTTCTCTTGGTCATGCACTTCTCATTTGTACTCGACTCTATGCCAATAAGATGTTCCAGTAATCATAAAAAAATAACAGGTTACACAATTTGCAATGCTTTCGCGTGCGGCAGCGGGGATACGTGGATCAACATTGGTAAGGGCTTCTTATTCAACGTGTTTATTCTAAATGTTGTCAGCATTAAGACCTTCTAATGTATTCTTTCTAAAGTGTGCCACACGAGCGTTTTATGTGGTTGATTACTTGAAAAACATATGGGTAAAATGCAATGCAGTTTGCCTTGGTTTCTATTTAGTGAGCAAATAATTTTTTATTCTCAATAATGTAATAAAGTTTCAAAATTTCCTACTTAATGTAAGTTTATTTTTCTATTCTTTACATATTTTGACCGGTAGCATGCTGATCTTGTAACATTTGATGACCTGGATGTCAAGTTTGTCGTAAACATTTCGTAAATAGGTATCAACATCATCAAATGTTACAAGATCAATTGTTTCCAGGTCAAAATGGGTACACGATGGGAAATTTGAAACTTTGTTGCATCCATTGAGAAAGAAAAGCTAAACTTTGTGGCATTGTGATGCATTTTGCCCACTAGACACAGGAATGCAATCACTTCTATTGAAACAAGAAATCGTCTGGAAAAGAAGATTTAGCATTTCGTAACAAGCTGGTGCCTTCATTTTAATCTAAAAAGACATTGGTTCGTTACATGTTGCCCTGTTTACTGTTGAATACAAGCTATAACAGGCATAACACACACACTGGATCGAACATGTAAATATCATCAGGTCATCACATAAAAGCCAGCTTTGACTTTATTCATGCTTTACCACAACCCATCCCGCAAATGATAATCCTGATTGTGCACTTAGGGGGAGCAAGTTTTATAATGTGAAAAAATTAATAGTTGTAATCAAGGTTCTAGAAGTCGTGAGATGTGCCCTGGCGGTGAGGTCAAGCCTCAAACCGTAGGAGCCACGACGTTTTTCAAGATTTAGCTTAAGGCGGCAAATATTTGTGTGTGTGTGTATATTATATGTATATGTTTCTACTATTACTACTACTACTACTACTACTCGGTTTATTATTATCAGTGATATTGAATAATTTAAATTCATATAAAAAGAAGAAAACAATACATTGATGTATAGATATTAGGGGTACCATGCCTTGAATAATTTAAATTCATATAAA